GTCAACCATAAAAATCAGGCAGTCATGAGTCTTTACTTTAAACTGAAATTAGATAAGCACTTTAACATACGACCCAATCTACGGATCATAAGCAGCCATAGCACTGTACCAATATTTACTGGTTAAGTTGTAAAACTTGGTTTATAACTCAACCGCTATTTGTGAATCAATAATTATCAACCTCAATTCAAGCATCGCAAGATGGTAGAGAAACGAGCATGTATTTAAATACAAAAAAGAAACCGCTAGGGTGTCGGTCTACCACTCCACTACACTTAGTGACAGGTTATATGCGCAGCAGCCATTTTATTATGGAACCCATAACGCGGTGCTAAGCTGCACTATGTGCCATGAACCTTCTTATCCGGAGATACATGACCACCATATCATGTGGTCTCTTATTTAAAAACGGCATTCACTCAGCGAACTCAGAGACAGAAAAACTAGTGATCCGGCCGGTATTATCCGACTGGGCCACCACCTTCAGCAAACGAGCAATAGAAAATAAATAAGAAACCCAGCAGTAAGAATTCGTCAGCTTGGTTTAACGTCCTCCTTGGAAGAAATGTACGAGAATACGTATGACACGACCCATTTATTCTCGAAGCGTAGCGAGTTATTGAAGAAGAGTCGGACTGTCGTAGCATTCAGAGGTACGCCATGGTAATGACCTGACTAATGAGCAACGGTCTCGAAACTACTCACCCACCACACATAACGAAGAATGAACCATCTGCACCTATCATCTAATATGCCTATATCGAGTGTCACATGTACATCTTATTATGCTGCGTCATCAGATAAAAAAGTTGAGCAATTCTGAGAAAGCAATAAGGGTAAAATTACATTATGCTGTATGGGGGGAGGGTATTTACGAAATTGTCCATTCATTAGCCGTTGATCTTAGCATCTTCAATAAACCAGTTCTAGTATATCGTAGCAGTTCGTTTGAGTTAAATGTTTCTCAGAAGCCAAAATCCACCAAAAGATAAAAAGCGTAAATATATGCATTAAACATCAAAAAGTTTATTAGCCTGAAGAAAATGTTTCAGCCGAACATTGGAACAACAAATCAAGTGTACAACGATCATCTTAAAAACGAAAACTTAACTCCGATGTTCTTGGGTAGACTTCACTAGTGGAGTTTTCGATACCACCGTGGAAACGTAATATTCAAAATGTATCAACACCAGATTGAAACAGAGAAAACATAGTGTAAAGTAAGAAAAATTCATTTCTTACTTTACAACGACATTGTGGTAGCGTAAGACAAAAATCTTATAGTAGGTAATACCGAATATTGCGCCGCTTCCTTGCTTCTAGTAGTCAAGAGTGACCATGTATGCAGGCCATGGCTCCATGGTATTTAAGCTCCTGCAATGCACAGGACGCAAAACGGCGTCTTTAAATTGGGTTGAACAAAGAAATGCACAAGCCCAAACGCAACGATCAGTTGGCGAAAAAAGCCAAAACATAACTCAACGGTCTGGTACAGACTCCATGAGTGGAGTTGATGATGATAAACTGATTCAGAATGATCATCTTACTTGATCGAAATTCTCCTCCTCTTCATCGACCGTAAAATTCCACGCACTGGGATCCATGATATTCTGAAACAAGGAATTCTTTACGTCAAAATGCTTTCCATACAGCTGTAAGCGGAAGTAAATATGTTACCACCCGGAAAGTCATTTGTTTTATGAAATCAGATATAGGCAGATTGAAATTAGTTCGTCAATATGAACTGAAACTGATTCAAGGATCAGTTCAAGTCAGTAATACCTCATTCTTATTAGATTAGAAGCACTGAACACACACACCAAAGCCTCTGCATCATCACAAACAAGTTTAAGCTTATTCCACATATTCGATGTAAACTGAATCTTCGGCGGTAATGCTGTAAAAACTGTACATTATCGGTTTGGACAGAACACCAACTTTGTCTTAGTCCGCAGCAGCATGGACTGAATTACAAATTTACTGAATCTCTACAGAGAACATCAATATTTTAGCAATGTCTACTATGTGCAGTTCTAATGCCTCGATTTCATTCGAAGAATTTTTCTGAAAAATATGGGTTTGCGAGCCGGAGCGCATTAACAAGCGCTTGCCATGCCTCATATATAAAATGCATAGGGGCATCAAACTCGGACCTGCAACTAAAATGTTAAAATCGAGAAACCAAATATAGGCGGTTAAATTCGCCTTACCCTAAAAGAACTTCATATCTGAACATCGGCGCTGTCGCCTTGAGGAACGAGTACGGAATTTCATTGGACGGTAAAGTGGGAGAAACATATAAGCCTAACCCCCACTGCGAATATGTGCCAGGAATTATGAAATCATTGGTTACTGAAGTATAGTAACCATACTTGACAGAAGCCTTATATCAAGTAAGACAGTTCTGCTTAAATGATTGGTGCGTAATTGAAAACCGTGATACAAGGTCTGGGTTCACGGTCGGTATTATTCTCCAACAAAGAAGTGAAATCTTTTCGTCACGCTACCAACTTCAGATTCATGGTAATGGGAAAGGTAAATGAAAGATGCTCAAAGGGCGTCATCAGCAATTTAATAAAACATCGTTCTTTGCACTGATTCGCACTTCTAGTATTGGAGAGGTTACCAGTTTGCTTCGCGCTTTAGAGGAGCAAGGTTCAAGCCCCATGCGCAGGGATAAATTTCTCTCATCAACTTGATTTCATTGGTAAAAAGATATACCGCAACCGTATTTGCGGAGAACCAGCTGACAGGCAGACAGTAACGGTACTGATCTCTGGACAGCAGGGACAATATAGTACTTTGATGTGGTCACACAAAAGCGTGCGAAACATAAGATGATGGCAGCAATTACGGCCACATCATTGGGATGCCATTCGCCTTCACCACCAGACATTTGGCCACATCAAAACAGTATATTGTTCCTACTGTTCAGAGGTCAGTACGTTCGCTATCCGTCTCTCGGCTGGCTGCAATCCATACAGTTACTGCTAACAAGGCGGCTATATAGGTTTCTTCCTTGATACCGACAGTTACTCATTTATCGACAAAGAGGTCAGATTCGAACCCAGGAGATAAGAGGTTCAAAATTCAGAGCAATGAAGGAAAAGACATAATTCATCTTAATCGCTAATTGCATTGAGCAAGAAATTCGTCCAAAGTTGCTTCAGTGCAAACAGCCAAAAAACGGCTAACAAATCACTAACTTGTGAACAACAAGAATAGCATGCTGTTATGACGTAGTAATGCCAGGATGAATGAGAGGTAAGGCCACGTTTTCTAACGCGAGCGATCATGCAGCCGCGATTTGCCCTGAGCTACCTGATAGCTGACTATCTTTTGTGACAATCAGCACAAGCTAAATTCCTGTAGCTGTTGCAAATCATGCAAGTAATCGTAAGAGTTTAATATGATTTATATATGCATGCCGTACATTAATATACCGTTTGTTTCATTGACATTTGGCAATGACCAATAACCCTAGATTGATCGTTATCGCTATTAGCGGCAAAAATCACCATCGAATTTTTATGCCCATGATCCTATTAGTCGCTGCAGTTTTCATATCTCCTTCTGATTCGTCTTCCCATCCTAGCCAAGGTCGGTCATCCGGCTGTCCACTTGCAGCCCCTCAGGTACCAATCCGACTGCTGAAGTCCATCTGCTGTGTCAATCGTCGAACGCGAGCAGCCCTTCGTACTTTCCCTTAAAATTGACGAAACAGTATAAATTACTATGCATTTTCCTCATATTTCCTCATTTCACAGCTCGTATTTCCTTGATATTTCCTCATTTCACAGCTCGTAACTCGAAACTCCGAGTTCTCTTCTTTCAGAACGCTGCCGCCGTGCTGCCAATGATCGTTCGTAGCTTTTGGACAAACAACAGATTTTGCATCCGATACATGGGGGCAATGCTGCTCATCAGTGAACAGTACTAAACCAGTGACTGCATACATCGAAATACAACTGACCTCCAAGAAACTATTATTTCATCATCAACGTATGCACTAAATACAGTCAATGATTTTTCATGAAAGTTTCCCTTCAGAATGTCCCAAACGGATGAACAACGCATGATTTACTCACATATTTCTCCACTACAAACAGACGTTTCTGACCAAGCTCAGTGTTTTCGAATTTACTATATTTTACACACGATGCCACGTACAAGCGAACTAATTTGACAGAGTATGGCTAACGAGTATTGGATTAGTCTTAAGCGACAGTTTGATCTTGTCGGTATATCTACATGTGTATGGCAATGTAAGTATAAGGTGATACCGAATTCTGCGTCAGGCGGCGGAGGCCATCTACAGCGCATATAGCTCTGCCATTCCTCATTTGAACTTCTTCATTAATTGACTATCTGAGTGGGGCAGCCTCAGTAGGATAAAGGAATCTTCATTCATCGTCAGAGCCCCACAGCATGCGTGCTGATTCCGTCAAAATTGCTCATTATTTTCAGTCTAAAAAGAAGAGACCGCATTCTGACAGGGTCATCGAGCATCGGCTGGGATATTTGAACTGGAATTGTGCCAGGCCTTACTCCACTTATCAATGACGTAAAAGAAGACGCCACTTCTGGGCGTAAGATGTATATAATTAAAACTTCTGTACGTTGCACACCCTGCTGTAACATTTCTTAAGATAGAAACACATTTTTGAAAATAAAAGCTGCGGAAATTAAGTTCATAATTCGAAAACTCCATAACAGGATGACACAAAAGCTGTTTATCATATAAGTGACCATTCAGAATGGTAATCCGTTTATGCCAGTGTAGACTGAACCTGATTTTTTGTTCACATCAAGAGGGCTAAATCGCGGTTTATCTGATTATATCGAAACCTATCCTCACCCACATTGCCGCTTGGATGTTAACAATTACGCCGCGGCTTTGATATAAGCTTCAGCTTAAGCAATAATACGAGAAAAACTAAACTACCATTCCGGACTGAGAAACAAATTAATTTTAGTCTACAGCAGCATGGACGGATTACCATTGCAGATAATAACACATACACATTGCCTAACGTTTCAGATCATGCTCGAATATCTTAAGGAAAAGATTTAAAATAAAACAGAAAATGTTACATTATAAATACTATATTTGCGATAATTTTTATTGCAACACTGCAACGTTAAAGAACGTGTATGATACCGCCCAAAGTGGTAATCCGTCAATGCCAGTACGACTGCAACTGATTTACTTTCCAGTCCAGAGTTGCAACGCGTGGTTTTCACTGTATTACTGCCTAAGCTTACATCTAAGCCATGGCATAAGCATAAAAAGGCATCCGGTCATGCAGAGGCCTAGCTATGGGTAGGCTTATCGATAATAGTCCGCGATATTGCCGACTTGGACTGAATCACAAATCCGTTTCACTCTACATCGATATATTCCAGTTCATACTGGTTCTTTCTGGACGGTAACATACAATAGATTGAACATTCAATGTACCCAGTAAAGGAATTTTGAATGTTGACGCAAATATAAAAAAAGAAAAGGCCGGTCTTCTTTCACTTTCACGATTGGGCCATTTTCCTGATGTTAACGGTGCGGTGCTGAACCCTGTTTTATACCATCAGCCACTTTTTATACCATTTTTTAGAATGGCAGTGTCAACAGCCATGTAGCAAGCATGGCATGTAGTCCTGTTTCCTCCCCATAGAGTGGTACTCATTTACAAACTTCGGAAGGAAGAAGGATGAGTGACCACATTCTGACTGGGGTATCAACGCGAGATCTTTCTTCGGTTTGCTGAGTCTGAAGCGAAGTATCGTAAATTGTTTTCTCAAAGGAATTCGTGAATAAGACAATAACTGCTTTCGAAAGGAATCTAACCGGGCACCTCCGAAGTTCGAAGCACATCACTTAGACACACCAAAGCGCAAATATATGCGAATATGCAAAGTAAACGGAATTTCATTCAAACGGGACACCGCAGAAAGGATACTGCAGAAGAGCAAGATACGAAATACATGCGGAAAATGAGAACGCAAACGACAAAAAACAACAAATGTTTACTAGCCTTTCTTTTTTCGAACCAATGGCTTCACAAATTAATCAGATGAATAAAAATCGCCATTAATAGTCTTACACAGTACAAATTATAGAAGAATAACATACAATGAACATCATAAACAGTACAGATAACTTTGTTTAAAACCGAATGAGAAGCTCAATGTTTACCTCAGTTCCGGTATACACATAAAACTAGCTAACTTTAAAAAGCCAGAAAATAAGGGCAAATGGCGGTCTCTAGTTCACTGTCGGAACATTTTTGAAACTTCAATTGGCATTCTGTTCCGAAATAGAATCTGTAGCTGCGTCGATTATTAAGACGTATCGTCCGGAACTAGCGAAGCAAACAGTTGCTTGACTTCTTGATGTAACGAGTCGAAGTCACTGCGCATGGTGGCAAGTCGTTCGCGACGGGCCCTCACTGAGGTGCAAAGAAGTTCCTTGGTTTTGGCAAGCTCGGCTAGCTGGTCCCGGACGAAGTCCCGCTGCCGGACAAGCGCGCGGCAACGGTACGGTCGAAGGTCGACCCATGGGTGGCCGGTGAATCGCCATTTGGACTCGTTCTTTGGATTCGTGATGGCCGCTTTGAGCACCAACTCGTCGGCATTGTTCAAAGCCTCAGCTAGCTCACATCCAGAGATCAGCTCCTCCAACCTTTCGTTACAATTCCGCTGAAGGTCTTGTGTCATTTCGCGGTGCAGTAGCTCCAATTCCCTCATCGATACCATGCCATCCGCACCAACAATGGCGCCGGAGTTCTCCAACCGACGCCGACAGGTCGAAATCCTAATGGACATTGACAACCGACTGATGAAACGGTCGACAGCATTCAGAAACATCTCGAACCTTCGTCTCTGCGTTTTCTTAGGACGTTTTGCCGCATTGCTGACAATATCGGAACCGGCGGAGGGGTTGGTAGACGAAGATGAAGGACCAACCTCGGAGTCACACATCTCGATGTTAGGTTCGCACCTCTTCATATTAAGCCATGCAGTAATACCGGATGCTTCTCTCACCCCAAGTGTCAATCTCAATCATCATTATCAGTTGGATGTCGTCACAATTACTCCAAAACAGAAGTACCTAAAAGAACAGCAGTAAAAATGCATAAAAACAAAAAAACAGACTACCTTAAACAAGACATACTATAGTAACACAAGACACTAACCGCTGAAATCCATATCATTAATGTGGAAAATACTACAATCAAAAGAATAGCGAGCAATTAAGTGAAATATGTCGAAATCTACTTTCAACTTCAGCTTCGATCAGATGTGACAAGACTAGAATTAAATACACA